CCACAGCCTGCCCCGCGACGCTGCGCGGACGCTGGGCTTGCACCACCTGCCCACAGACCCACTCGGCCTCTCCGGGCGGCTGCTGCAGCCTCGCAGCCGGCCCTGCCCCACGGATCGGGGCCCGGCCGTGGGCACCTCGCTGCCAGGAGCACTGCCGGGGAGGGCAGGGGCTGGCAATGGGGCCTGCGCTGATGCTCAAAGGGACTCCCACGCCGCGAGCCCTTGCTCCACCGTCCTCCTGCCTTGGGGTTTCAGCAGCAACCTGTGAGCTGGCTGCTCGGCCAGGGGCCTCCCCAGGGCCCAGGAGCTGCCGGCATCTAAACGCCCCATGCCCCGGGCCTGAGCAGCGCCAGCGGAAGCAGCGTGGCCCTGCCGAGACGCTCGGCACCGCTTCCGCCGGTTAATTAGCTCTAAACGCCATCAATAATAAATCACAGCTGGCACCTTCCCTGCGCTGTTCCAGGGAGAGGCAGGCTGGGCAGCGCATGCCTCTGCACTTCTAGCATGCGGAGGGGGGCACGTGCAAGCATTGGGGGGGCACACAAGCACACAGGTATGTGTGTGCACAGCAGTGTGTGTGTGTGCAAGCATTGGGGCAGGGGGCACAAGCACACACAGAAAAGTGCATACATGCTTGCTGCTACGTGTGCAGTGCTGGGGCAGCCAGGGAGGCCCAGCCCCTCCGCACAGGTCCCCAGCCCCGTGTCCCACAGCCTTGCTGGCCTCCTCCCTGCTGCCCAGCCAGGTGTTGCCCCCCACCCCGCTCGCACTCACGGCTCCCTCCGGGCTCTCTCCCCTCTTTGATTCGCTTGTCCTCGGTGCCACGTGCCGTCTCTTCCTGCTCCCGACAGGCCCAGCGCTCCTTGCTCCAGGGGCTTTTTTTCTTCTTTTCATTAAATTTTAGAGCTTATAAAAGTGAGACGGAAGATGAGAAGCAGACACACGGTGCCGGCTCCCCCTGGCCGCCCTGCTCGGCCCCCCCGGCCCTGCCCCCACCCGCTGTCCTGGTTCTGAGCCGTGGGGGTCAGCGGTGCCAGCCCACCGCAGCCCGGGGACACGGACCCACCACAGACTCGCAACCAGGCAGGACCCATCCATCTCCCCCTCGCACCCATGCCAAGCGCCGGCGAGCCAGCGGGAGGCGCTGGCGCCCGCCACGTCGCAGGGACCCCACAATTCTGGTGCAGGGCTGTTGGTGGGCCACGAGCATCGCCCCTCCTCGGCTCCCAGGCAGGGCAGGAGCTTCCCTCCTTGCCACCCAGCAAGAGCACGGGGTGCAGCTGCAGCCGGCAGGGCCCAGCCCTTGACACCAGCCCCGCCAGGGCGCCTGCCACCAGCTCAGCTCCCTTCCCTCACGCAAAATAGCAACGAAATGGGCTGATTCAGCAAAAGTTAATTTATGCCCCAGGCCAGAGGTAGCGTGAAGTAATTAGTGATATAATGGTGATGTCGCACTAAAAATTATTTATAGTGTCACTGAGCTCACGGCAGGGATGGAACGAGACTCCGGTGGGATCCAGACAGCCGGCAGGGGGGGCCCCCCCGCCTGACTCCTGCTGGGCCCCCCCGGGCAGGCGCAGAGCCGAGGCTGCCACCCGCACGCCCTGCTCCCGGGGCAGGAGCCCCCACCAGCACCGCTGCCCCGCTCCCCAGGGGCGAGGAGCCCACGGCGGGAGGGAGGGGGCAGCCGCATGGCCGCAGGCCCCGGGGCAGGGGAGGGCAGCAGCCCCGGGGCCAGCAGCAGGCAGCGCCGCCCAGGCCTCGCCCGTGCTGGGGCATCTGGGCTGCATCCCCAGGGGTCGCAAGCATCACCTTGCAGCAGTCACGTCCCGTGCGCCTTGCACCAGGGGAGGGATGGGGCCATGGAAGCAAGGGCCGCGGGTGGGCCCTGGGCCGGGCCTGCAGCCCCTGCCACCCACCACCTGCCTCCGGGCACCTGCGCTGGAGCTGCAAGGCTGCCCGGCCCCACGCTGCCACTGCAGGGCCGGCGGCCAGCTAGAGATGCTGCGGCGAGGTGGCAGGGCGGGCGAGCGCAGGTGAGGGGGACTCAGCCCCGGCCCCGGGACAGGTGCCGTGCCCGTGCTCCCACACGCACCGCCGTCTCCAGCGGCTCTGGGCAGGATAAACCCGCAGACGATAACGAGCCTGGCACTTGCCTCCCGCGTTGCCCAGGCAACGCCAAGCACGGCAGCAGTTCAGCAGCTGCCGCTCCCCCCTGCGGTCAGCTAACGGCCGAGATGGAGAGTGCGGCGGGGTCAGACCCCGCAGCCCTGCTCCGGGCCCTGCAGCCGAGGCCCACGTCTACCGCACGCTCCAGCCGCGCAGTGGGCCCCTGCCCTCCTCGAGGCCCTTGCTGCCGGCAGTCCCTGGCCCACAGCTAAGCCAGGGCTTTCTTCAGAGCCAATCGCCCCAGCGTTGTCCCAGCCCCTCCTGCGCACGGGGACACGCTCTGCCTGCAGCCAGCGAGGCCCGGCCAGCGCCTGCCTCGCCCGGCGCAGATGCGGGAGCCCCGCTGCAGGGTCTCGGGACCGGGCTGGGCAGGGCCTCGCTGCGCAGGAGGTTTAGGCACAGCCAGCCTTGCCCCCGGGGAGAGGGTTCAGCTCGAGGAACCTCAAGGCGCCGCCCAGGCTGCTGCATGATGGGGCGGCCGGAGGGCAAAGGGCAGCTGCAGCGGAGCCGCGACTGCCCCGGAGGAGAGGGCAGGGAGCAAACACCGAGCCGGGGCTCTCGCCCTGGGGCAGCGGGGCGGTAGCGAGAGGAGGCAGAGGTGCTGCCAAGGCACTGCTGGTCGAAGCCCGACCCATGGGACACCCGGCAGCTCTCGAGAGCAGCCGAGGCCAGAGGCCACAGCCCAGGCGTGAGCCAGCACCAGCACGGCTCCCACTCGAGCCACGGCAGGGCCTGCACCGCCACCTCCGGCTCCACGGCTGCAGCTCTGGGAGACGGCACAGAGGCACCACCTGCCGCCTGCTCTGAGCAACGACACTCGCCCCCCAGCCCCGCCATGCTCAGCACCCCGGCTGCCAGGCCGACAGAAGGGCTTCTCACTGGAAACCATCGCTCGGCCCAGCACCGCGCTGCTGGACGCCGCTCCCCGGGGAGGCTGCGCGGTGCCGGGACTCCAAGGGAGAGAAACTCGGCCGAGAACGGCCACAGTGCGGCGTTGGGAGGCACCCAGGCCACGGGCACTGCGGCTCTTGCTCGGCTCGCAGCAGCGCTCAGCCTCCCTGCGCTGCGCCGTCCGGCCCCGCTGCAGCCAGCCTGGCCTCTGCCAGGAGCATGGCAGCCGTCGTCTGTCATGCAAGCACTGGTCCCTGTGGCCCGAGCAAGGCTAAGCCGGGCCCACAGCTCCCCCCGGACTGCCCCGGGGGGCCAAGCAGCGGTGTGTCCCAACCAAGGACGGCTGGAGTCTGAGCTGCTGCCTGAGCCCTGGCAGGGAAGAGCAGTGGCCCCTCCTGGCACGCGACCGGTGGGTCAGTGCCAGCACAGGCCTGTTCTCCTGGGGAGGCGACAAGGCTGCGGACGAGGCCGAGGCCGAGGCCCGTGCAGGGGAGCTGCTTACAGCCCCGCTGGCTGCACTGGAAGGGGCTGCGGGTGCCTCGCGGGAGGCAGCAGCACAAGCAGGGAGGCAGCTGGCGCAGGGCAGGAGGCACCAGCACCTTGGCTCCGCACAACAGGCTCACACAAGCAGAGGAGAGGGCTGGAAGCCATTTATTTTCAAAAGGCATCAGAGCTGTTCCCAGCATCGCAAGTTGCTTCCCCAGCTCCCCAGCCCTTAACGCCCCCAGCCCCACCGAGCCAGAGCGCCGAGGTCTTTCCTGGTCCCTGGGCCCAGCCTGGTCCCGCAGCGCAAGCAGGCAGGGGTCCTCCTGCTCCCTGTGCTCCAGCTGGCGTGAGATCCAGCTCCACAAGGCGCTGGGGAAAGAGCCCCCGCACAACAGCCACCTGCCTTGCCCCTGGGGAGGCAGCACCAGTGCTGGCTGGGAGCGCTCTCTCCGCAGCCACGGCTCTGCTCCCTCGCCCCACCACACAGCTCATGGGATCCCCCGCCGTGGCCCTACACTCTGGGAATTATCCCTGCTTCCCCCAACAGCGCAGGGGCTTCTCTTCAGTCCCTGTACAGGGCCACGCTGCAGCCTTCCCTCTCACCCGGCCGGCAGGAATCCCGGCTGCCGCGGCTGGCAGCAGGCCCTCCCACCCCCTGCTCGGGGCTCCCCACGTGCGCCTGATCCAGGGGAGATGGCAGCGCAGGACTCCTGGCCCCTGCATGTTGGTAAGTGCCGCTGAGCGCGATGGTCAGACGCAGCAGCCGCCAGTGGGCTCCGGGTCCGCTCAGCGTTGCACCTGGGTGCCAACGTCCTCCTCCTCCGGCACCTCCTCTGACTCGCCGTGCCGCAGCAACAACTCCAGGTCAGGGCTGGAGCCAGCCTCCTTCTGGGTCTTCAGGGCATTTTCACCTGCACACGGACAACCAGGTCAGTCCTGCACCACAGCAGTCTCCCCCGGGCACTCCTGCTCCTGGGGGCTTAGCCCGTCCTGCCCTCAGTGAAGGCCTCAAGCCCAGTCTGGGCTCCTAACAGAGGTGCTGGGAAGGGAGGAGTGGGCTCCTGCAGCGATCGGGCCAGAGAAGCGTTACCTTTGGAAGCAAAGGCTTTGAGGGCGACGTGCAAGGAGATTCCCAATAGGCAGACGGCAAAGCCCAGCCAGTTGAGGAGGCTCAGGTGGTCTCCCAGCACATGGGTGGCCAGCAGCAAGGTGCAGACTTCCTGCAGAAACAAGGCACCGGGGAGGTGGCAGAGCAGAGTGAGCAGCGTGGGGCCCACAGACTCCGGCTGTCCGTCACAAGGGGACACTGCAGCAGGGAGCCTGGGCCAGGCTGCACCCGCAGCTACCCTCCCTGCGTCGGGGTGTCGGCCCATCCCCTGAAGACAACTGCCAGCCTCTCACTACCTCTGACCCTTTCCTGCGCTTCGCCAAGCTCTGGCCCTTGCAGGGGAGCCCTGGGCTCTGTGCTGCATTAATAAAGGCTGTTAAGGGGTCGATGTAGGCGCTGGGGAACTTTTCTGGTCAGAAGCCACGAGTGCTCTGGGGATGGGAAGGTGGCAGAGCTGGCCCAGCACGGCAGGAGGGAAGGTGCCAAGAGCTGTTTCCGACAACCCCCGAGCACAGTCGCTTTGCTTTGGCCAGTCGGGCCCCAACCTCCCTGAATCCCCACAGGAGCCAACCTTGAAAATGCCGGCGATGGACAGGGTGAGGCTGGAGGTCCTGGAGACCAGCAGGAACTCGGAGAAGCCCAGCCCGAAGGCCAGGAGCCCCCCCAGGGAGAGCTTCCCAAGCAGCGCGAGCAGCACCCACCCGTCGTGGAACCGGAACAGCTTCTCCGACACAGCCATGGGCAGCCCTGAGCGGGGCGGCAGGGACGGTGAGCAGCAGGGCTCTTCCGTGCTGGGAGGCAGCAGCTAGCGTGGCCCTGCCCGCCCCCTGGTTCCCGCACCGGCAGGAGAGGAGCAATCTGTGCACTCGAGTGTTTGCTCCCGCGTCTGCCTGGCTTGCTCCCGCAGCCCCCACTCTCTCCAGCGACTCACCCTCGATTGCCATGAAGAGAGGGAAGAGCCCCAGGAACATGAGCGGCTGCAGGTGAAACATGGTGTCGATGGGGTTCTGCAGCCCTGAGGAAGGAGAGGCGGTGACAGGCGTGATGGACGCCCGCTGCTTTCACCCCTCCCGCGCCGAGCTGCTGCCACTTCCCCGCTCCCTCCCCCGGCCCCCGCACGTCCCCTGGGACAGACGACCCCCGCCCGTCTCCTGCCTACCCAGCTCGGCCTTCTGCATGAGCATCTGGGTGAGAGTCCAGCGAATGCCCCCCAGGAAGGAGGCGCCGAGCACCAGCATGAAGCCCTCTGTGTTGAACTGTGTGGACTCGTAGGTGAACATGAAGAGTCCCCCGGCCACCAGCAGCACCACCAGCACCAGCGCCAGCCTCTGCGGGCAACAAGCAGCATCGCAGGGGCCTGCCTTCCTCCCAGCCCCTTCCCCAGGCTGCGCTTAGCCCCCGGCCCTCGGGACCAGCCTCCGCCCCAAGGGGCTGGTGCCGCCGCGCCCTCACCAGCTCCTCCAGTTTGAAGATCAACGAGAAGAACAAGATGAAGAGGATGGCAGAAGACTTGGTCATCGTGTAGCTGCAAAAACCAGGGTGCGCGGTTGCTCTCCAGACGCCCAGCGCAGCCCGCACTGCCGCCGTCCTGCCAGGCCAGCTGCAGGACCGGGCCCCAGCCCGGCGTCTCCGCAGCGCACGGGCCCCTACTCACAGGGAGACGGTGATGTAGAGGAAGCTCCAGTTGCTCAGGCCGATGTCCAGCGCCGTTGACAAAGCTGGAGGCGACAGCGAGCCCCGTGGAGTTGCAGCAGCGTGCCTGGTGGAGGGGAGCGCTGCTGCCCTGGAGACGGGCCTCCCTGCGGCTCCGCCAGGCCGAGCCCCCAAACCTCCC